CAAGATCACAACGATAAATTTGCTTAAGTTGGTGTAAATGGCTGCATTTGACAGTTACAAAGGTTGCTTTTACATACACATGCCTAATTTGAGATGATACGCGATGAAGACCGTGCCCGGCAATCGAATCGAGGGTCGTAAGCCTATAGGTGTGCACTTTATTTTGTTGAATTTAAAGTAAGTCCTAAGATAATGTTTTTGAAACTCGAGAGAGTATTCTGCAATTGCAGAGCTGAAGTGAGAGAGAGACCATCGCCGTTAAATCTGTCTACAAAATCAGGACACACCTTTGGTGTTATTGCTCTCCGATTCAGTCACCGAGGCGCCTCCTAACCAGATAAAATACATAGTTACTAAGTAATAACAATAGTAATAATAACGGCGAGACAAATACGCCGATGGATCCATAAGGGTTAGGAAATGGAAAAGGTGCTTATAATTTGGCTATGGAGAACAAAACTAGCTATTCTTTGGCAAGATCGTGTTTCACAAGCATCGATTTATCAACTAATATTTTATACTGAATGTTTTTGATAAATTTTACCTAATATACTTTCGCAATACCCCGGGAACCATTTAAGTTCTAGAGTGTAATGTGAAAGCGGGAAAATGTTTGAAGAAAAACTTATCCGATGAACTAAAAAAATTCTGTGGGAATTATTAGCCCATGTTCAGTGGTCACGAGCTGATTTCCTTTGCCGAGATTGGAGTCTGAATTCTATTTTTTTCCTAAATTCCATAGCAATACTGACAGCATGCCGAATGCGCACTGTCGCAGAAAAAGTATTATTCCCACGTAGAACAGCGTTCACAAATAAATCTCAGCATAAAGCGTCATGAGCAGGGGGTAAATTGCCGATATATTTTACAAGAATACGTGACTAGTGTTTAGAGTTCGAGGGAAACCCTCGATTGACAGCAGTGTTAGTTCCCACTTCCATCAGCCAAGTCAACCCACAGCATGTGAACACGAGCGCATCTGGTGCACCCAACCCCAAAAGCTGACACCTGGTTTTGCACCTAAAACCTACCACAGAGTTTTCGTTGCTTTTCCAGACTCGCAGAGTCGTGCTGGCAACTGGCGGTGGTGGCCGTGACCAGGGGCACATCTGGCCTGGCAGAGTGCAGACTGAGTTCTGCCTGAATCGTGGGATTTACGCAGCCCTCTCCACAAGTGTGCAGCGAAAAGGTGGGAGGCCAAAGCAGGCGTTCGGGTCGCTGTCTGTTCGGGTTTACCTCAATTTTTGCTGGGAGACCTGGCGGGATGGAAGAATGCACGAGTGAGATGACTTACCGATAGAGAATCTTTTACA